TGAGGGAATGAATGAAACAGTTGTAATCACCTATCATGCAGTTCTATGTAAAAGTGAATGTGCACACGCGTGTGTATCTATCTATATAAATGAAAACAGAAACAAAAAAGAAACATGAAAAAAATAAATGCAAATGTGACTTGATCATGCGGTACAGTATTTTAATCCTTTTGACTGATGAAATATCAACAGTGTCAAACATCCTAGAAATCATGCACCCCAGTCCCACAAGGGAAAAGGGTCTCAAAGTACTTACCTAAACTCGGACCATATCTCAAAGGCAGAACCTGGTGGGAAGAACTTCCGGCAAGACCGAACAAGAGAAGTAGTAGCCTCAAAATGTCGTTGTCTCAATCTCCAGCCTTCTGGACCTGTATTCCTGTAAAATGTATCAATATATGAAGTTCTTCAAAAGCTATCTATGCTATACCAATTTAATTGAGAAGTTAGTAATCAAGCCAAATATTTCAAAAGAAACAATAATATGAACTATACAGCTTCATTAAAGCCATATCCAGGTTAAACACCGCATAAAATTAAGCATGTGAAGTCAGATTGGTTACCATCTTCCTTCAAGTCATTGGCTTCCTTATTTAAGAACACCTTTTCTTTCAAATCCATAGTTCGATTGCATTCACAAGGAATCATGAACTTATGTACATAAATTTGTCCTGTCTAGAAAAAGATGGTCGTATCTTAAATATTTCTATGTACCGAGGTTGCACCCCTTTGCAGCTATAATAAATTTACTTATGACTACAGAACAAGCAATAAATTAATTAACTATGAAAGAAAAAGGCAGTACGTTTGAAGGTGAATATATAAGACTCACCTAGTGAAATGTGTATGGATCAATGTTTCGTACAAAGGCCGCCATTTTAATTTCAAAGACAACTTCTTTCGATGCTTATTGAGTAGTTTGACTAGGATGTTTCCCCATCTAACCTATCAATACAAATCGAACCCACATTTAAGAAATACTGGCGACAAGCATGTCATTGAAAAATGAATTAAAGGAAAAATCAACTATGCAAAGTATTACCTGGGCATAAAGCTTATTTTGCGATACATAAAACAATTCCAATCCAAATTCAACAAGAACAGTTACATCTTCCAAGGAGACTTCACTTTTCGCCTTGAGGAAACTGCATCACAAATTACACATCCAACTTCGATATGGTTTAAGTGCAGCAACACTAACACATTCATTGCTTCCAAAGCTCGAGTATATTATTTAAATGATGAACACAAGTAATTCGGATTTCAAATTTAACAACACCCCAGTTCGAATAGCAGAATTTAACACAAACCCAATTCCAAAATAACAAAATATTTAGAAACCCAATAATTTGAACAAAAATGGAGAGGAAAGATAGTGAATTGGGTGAGCTCACAGGTCGATAACAGAAACCCATTTGAGAGTGGCATAGACGGATTCAGGATCGTCGTGTTTGTACGAGTTCTTGACGGAGGAGACGACCCAAGAGAAGGACTCCTTCTCCTTCTTCGACTCCTCGGCCACCGGAGGCGGCAGCCATGCATTGTAGAGATGCATAGTTTGCAGGATTTGCTCTGTGTATTGGTGATCCAGAAGAGAAAGGGAATGGATTTGAGAGTGAGTTTGTGGGGATTTATAGTGAAAGCATTCGAAGACTTTGGGTTCAGCCTGCCTTTCTGAACAAGAAAGTTGGGAAATTGAGAGAGAGAGTTGAGGGAGACGGATTGGGGTTTTCTTTCTGGCTTGTGTGATAGATGAAGGAGGGGGGTGACTGACTGGCTACCGGGGACTGGTTTTTTTGTTCACTTTTACGTGCTTCGTAAATATTTTCCACTCAACGTTTTATATTGTTGAACATATCTCTTAACTTTATCATTTTGATAATTTCATAAAAAAATTCTGGTAAACAATGAACAAAATGATAAAAGTATCTTAATTTAATCAACAATGGTCGATTTGACAAAAATTAAGGATATTTTTGTCTTTTTCTCCTTATTTAATATAAATTTTTAACGAAATTACTAAAATAATCGATGGTGAACAAATTAAAAACTAATTCTATCGATTTTTCGGATAAAGTAAAGAGTTACCAATCACGAAGACCATTTTAGTGAAGAAAAAAAAAAAACCCTTTGCTTCATGAGGTTTCTGTACCTAAATCTCATCCTTGAGTCCCATCCGAACGCACAAATGTTTTATTTTAAACTTTGGACGAGATTTGTGTTTTCTAAAAGGGAAACCTAAATCTCCAATGGAATACGAACAATGGTATATTTTCCATTAATAGTTATTACATTACTCAATATTCCAACCATATATGATAGAATATTCACTTTTTTGGAATAATTTTAAAAGAAACAATTATATTTAAAATATAAAATAATGGACCGTGGATGCATGGAAGAAAGGTAATATTCTAATTTCCACTTTTGAGACATTTTATGACTCAAATTTTGATCATTGGGCATATTGAACGGTTCATTTTGATTCAAATAATTAGCGGCTCGTTTCAAAATACTTTTGAAAAGACTAAAAGTGCAATTGATGAAATTGATTTTGGCACCAAAAGCCTTTAAGTGGTTTTTTTTTTTTTTCAAAAAAAAAAAAAGCACCATATATATGCTTCTTACAATAAGCACTTAAGTATTTTTCAAGATCACTTGAATTTTTATTAAAGATTGATTTAAAAATATTTTCATTAAAAACGCTTTCAGTTATTTTAAATCATTTTCTAACGAGCCCTAGGACTCATGGAAATCACTAGTTAAAAAGAGATGATATTGATTTGTAAAGGTATCGCATATGCTTGCTCAACAAGTTTTTATTCTTTTAATATAGAGAACTTTAACGAAAGCTCCGGTGTTGTTCACTTTAACGAAAAACCATATTTTTACACTAAATAGTCAATCTTGATACTATTTACTTTACCCTTTATTTTGTCCTTATCGTTAAAACTCAAAATTTTCAAACTTTTTTCATTAGTTTTCCTTTTAATCTATTGGGGCAATTTTTTCTTATGGAGAATATTCTTGCTTACAGTGTTTAAAAGAAGTGACATGGATTGTATAAACGTCATCTCACATATGCTTGCTCAATAAGTTTTCATCTTTTTTGTTTTTTTTGGGGGCCAATTAGTCTTTTTGTTGAGACTACTTTTGTGCACTACAATTGAGTGATGATGATTATGACCTGATCTAGCTGTTACACGAAATTTAAAAATAAATTAAATTAAATTGATGAAATTAACATTCAAATCAAATACAACGTCTTAAAAGAGGACGTCCTGAATGAAATCAAGGAAAACCCCATTTCATATTAAGGCACTTCTATCAGTAAGTGCGAACTTTGGTACCCAATTTTAATATTTAAACTCATTGGATGACGGATAGTATGGTAGTAATTTTTGTACCGCTTAAGAGTGTTGGGCAAAAATGTTTTCTTCTGTTGTTCGTATGATGCAAGCAAAAATGCTCTTGGCATAATAAAGTGTGTTTAGTTGACTAAATGGACGATGGATTTCAATGGCCAAATTGCAAGCCACGCTCAAGGTAATAAAAATAACGGCCTGGATTTAATTTATCAATAGATTTGTGAACCCATTAAACCCGCCAAAGAAATCACCCACTGCCACCAGTAGCAAAGCCAACATAAGGTCATTGGCTGCTTATGTTCGCAATAACTTCATAGCCCCAATGTATATTTATATAATATTTGTATACGACTAATATACACAACTGCATCAAACTAAAAAAAAAAAAAAAGAGTCAAAAACACTAAATTACAACGTGCTACTTCTTTTGTGCAACCCTATGTATAGTTATTATAGTATTCTTGTTTCTTTGTTTTGTCATTTTTACTATTTCTTGTGTGCGACTCTATGTCTATAGCAAGTGTTCGATAAATTGCCTCACTCGACACACTTCGGTAGAAATCGACAAAATACGACATAACTCGCCAAGTACCCACTAAGAGATCGACACAATTATCTAATAAACGTTTTTGACCAAAATTATGACCCCACTGTTCACAAATTCTGGTTCTGTCACTGACTGTCACTATTGGACTTTTCCCCCCACAAGTAGCAGATATGCCATGGCCGCCTTCAACCCACCCTTGGTAGATCCGCGTGCCTAATGTGTTTTTCGGCCTTATACCATCTCCAAAGGAAATGTCAAATTATAAGAGTCAAATTACACAACTGCATCAAACTAAAATAAAATAAAAAAGAGTCAAAAACACTAAATTACAACGTGCTACCTCTTTTGTGCAACCCTATGTATAGTTATTATAGTTTTCTTGTTTCTTTGTTTTGTCATTTTTACTATTTCTTGTGTGCGACTCTATGTCTATAACAAGTGTTCGATAAATTGCCTCACTCGACACATTTCGGTAGAAATCAACAAAACACGACATAACTCCCCAAGTACCCACTAAGAGATCGACACAATTATCTAATAAACGTTTTTGACCAAAATTATGACCCCACTATTCTCAAATTCTGGTTCTGTCACTACTGGATTTTTCCCCCCACAGGTAGCAGATATGCCATGGCCGCCTTCAACCCACCCTTGGTAGATCCGCATGCCTAATGTGTTTTTCGGCCTTAGACCATCTCCAAAGGAAATGTCAAATTACAATGATGGCTAACGTGACAATTTGAAGTCTTATGTCAAATTTTGTAGTTCTCCAACCGAATTGTCAAATATTATTTTATTATTTAAATAGAACTTTAAATGATTGTAATTATTAAAAAATGTTGAAACAAAATTTTTATTTGTTGAAATGTTAGTGGAACAAGGGACCCACTATTAAAATGAATTAAAAATAAATTTGACATCAAATCACTAAGTCTTCAAATCCAATCAGTAAATAATATTTCGAATGGAGAGACTTTTGATGTTAAATATATACAATGATATTCTATCTAAGATTTTGACATCTCTCTTTTAGAGATGCTCTTAATTCCTACCAATCAAATGGACCCAATATATTAGACCCAAGCTACCATCTAAAGCCCATCAGAGACTGAGAAAATGTGACCGTTGAGAGAATAAAATAAACGGCCAGAAAATGGGACCGTTTGGAGAAAAAGTTACCGTTGCCGGCTGACCCTCATGGCTCTCAGGCTCTTCCCAACAAATATAAATACCTCGGAATCCTTCATCTCCCTCCACCAAAAGCAATCGATACTAATCATCTCTCTCACTTACTCGCTCTCTCTCACTGCAAATTCTCAAGCTTTCTCTCTCTAAATTTCAATTACTTTGTTAAAATCTCACTTTCTGCATTTTGTTTTCTGCAATTTCATTTTTTTTATCTTTCGAGCTTCCATTTTTAAGCATTTCTTTACCAATGGCCGGAATGAAAGATGCCCACATTGTCGAAATCCCGGTAGACGAAGAGCATCAGCATAAGCTCTCGTCCGCCATGACCATCATTTCCGCAAACCAACACCACCCGCTAATGGAAATCTCTGAATCTCCCGGCCATCTCTTGCTCCTCAAGCTCTGGCGAAGGGAAGAAGACCTTTTCGCCAGGCGCATTGCCGGAAAGGAGTCCAGAATGGACTCCATCCGCCGCGAAATCTTTCAGCTCTGCTGCTTTTTCTTGATCTTTCATGGGTTCTTCACCACCATCCTGTTCACTTCTTCGGTTAACAAATCCGAAGACCACGTCTGTCATAAATGGTGGATTCCCAGCGTTTTGTCGCTCTCGACCTCTTTTGTGTTTGTGTTTTTGGTGCAGGTGAATCTTTGGAGGTACTGGAAGGTGTGGAACCAGTTGCAGAGGGCGAAGAGCGAGAACAGAGCTCTCACTAGGTCTATTCAAGAGCTGAGGATGAAGGGGGCGAGCTTCGATTTGTCGAAGGGGCCGCAGATCGGGAAGAGGATGAAGAGCTCGAGCGTTGAGATCAAATGGAAGCCACTGACTTGGTGCTCTCAGTATCTCATTACCATCTGCCTTGTTTGCTTTGCAGGTTTAATGTTTCCTGTTTCGAAATTCATGCTCTGCGGATTCTGAAGATGTGAGCTTGGAGGTGTTTGCTAAGCTGAGAATGATAGCATTCAAGATGTAGCAGAAGCAGAAAGGGAAAGACAGGCGGCAGAAAGCGATCCTTCAGACCAGCCAGCCAGCGGAGATCAACACAACTGACCTCAGATGGGTTCTCCCATCAATCTCCTGGCAATTGCTCAACTCTTTCCGTCAAGCACTCACCAGTGATCTGATCGGAGTCTTCATTCAACAATTGGGAAGCCTGCAGAAAGCAATCCTTCGAACCAGACAACCAGCGGAGCTGAACACAATTGAATTCAGCCGGTCACTTTTTCCGTCAACCAGTCACCGATGATCTGATCGAAGTCGTCATTCAACGCTTGGGAAGCCTATCAGATATCTATAATGGTATTCCAAATGTTTTGCTGCTGCAAAATCATCCTCTCATTCAATGTCCAAAAGGGGGATGAAGCATCTTTGGTCCGATTACTAGCCAGACTCATTCGAACAACCAAATTATACTCCATCCTCGGCTACAGATCATTCGAGATGAAAGAGCGGAAACAGAAATTTTATCTCCACACTACTTCTGAAGCCTATTGCACTCACTCAAACAACGAAATTATACGAAATTATACTCTCCTTTCTTTGTACACGTGATTCAATGTTAACTTCTCATAATTCATTCAATACAGCAATACAATTGTGTCATACTACAAGCACTTTTTATCGAGAATAAAATTGTAAATTTATCTCGCGCGATACTTGTTTTCAACAATATGAAAGTTTAGAATCAAATACATTTACTTGAGAAAGTCCGCACGGAGCCTTGTCTTGAAAATAGAACTGTCAGCATAGTCGTTCTTTTGGACGTAATGTAAGTTCAGAACCACAACAGTCGCGTCACATGCACAAGACTGCTCCATTTACAAGCCAAAAGAGAAGCGCAAAGCTTAGGTTGCACTTTTGAAGCCAAATATCCTAAAAACACCTGCAACAAATTAAGGTAACCAAACACGCATAAGTTAAATGTGCCTTGCGTGTATGAATGAGCTTAGTGGAAGAAAAAACGGCAAACCTTCATCAGTTTGGTATTTGTTCTTGTCATCTCCAGCATATGCAAGTAGATTGGATTTGGGATTCCACTCAACGCTGTTCATGGCAGCCCTACATGGAATTTGATGCACTGTCCGGCCGGTTTGCACATTTGACTGTTTTATACAGCAGCAATATCATCATTACTACTATTTTCAGGTCGGCGTAATAAAAGATGGATTTCATAGGAATGACCTAGCTACATTATTTAATAAAAGAAAGTACTTCACAGAACATATATCTTAGTTAAAAAAACAAAGATAAAATGGGCTAAGCTAGAAAACAACGTCACTGTACAGTGAACAGACGGTAGCCCTTGTAACCAGACATCCACCCACAGGGAGAATGTACTTGGAAAGATAAAAGCCAGGAGTGGTAAGCCACATAAGGCACTTACTATATCAATGAATAAGTCTTCGCTGGCAGACGCAAGATACTCTCCAGTGTGGTTGAAGCTTATTGTCCTCACAGGCGATCTGAGAAAGGTACGTAAAGAGGTTGTTCAAGGACTAGGGATGCTTATGATTAAAGTCTACCTGACAAACTAGTTATCCAATAACTGCAGAGTTAGAAGAAATATAATTGAATTGTACAGGAATATACATGGTTGAACTTACTCAAGTTTTGGAAATGTTTTCACACAGAGCATCTCTGAGATATCCCACAGGCTCACCAAGGAATCAGCACTCCCAACAGCAAAATATCTGTCAAGGTACAAAGAGCACTAGAAAGAGTACAAGGCAAGTAGGTCTTCCTGTGACAGCGTCACGAGAATATTTTGGAAAAAAAATTAAATATAACTAAATAAATTGAGCATATAACCCTTTTTTATAGTGATTGGATCGAAGATGGTGGAGTTCAATAGGCAGCACCAACTAATATAGCAAGTTAATAGCCCAGATGACATCAAAAAGCGTTTTTCTCTCTTAAATAATTTAAAAGATAATACATCTTTGTAGTAAACCTTCCAAGTGGGTCAATGGCAATGCAATAACACCCAGCTGTATGAGCCATGAGGGTGTCGACTGGTTTAAGAGATGGGTATGCTAGTACTTCAACCGTACCTGAGCAAAAGAATATATAATAAAATATCCATTCCAAGTTCCAACATATAGAAAGAATAGAGATTACTTAAAGACAGTTTTTCTCACCGTTTCCAGTCGTCAAGAAGAAAATTTCACTTGTTGTGCTCCAAGCAATTTCATTAACCTGGAAACTTAGAAGACTGTCCAATAAGTATTTGAGGTGCAGAGACAGATGCTATAAACAGGATTAGGGGGTATCCCTTGTACTAGGATGAAGCAATAGGCGGAAGGATCACATAAATGGTTTACAGATAAGTTACACATGTTTTCACAACTATGAATCAGTCATACTACTTAGTGGCTCTACTGGCAAAAAATCTTTGAAAACATAATCATGTGGATACAGAATAGTAAAGTCAAATTTTTTGAAAAAATTAAAAAGCACCAATGTTCAATGAAACAGAAAGAATTTGGGTTGACAATTTCTGAATTTCATAAATTTTACGACTTCAACACCACCATGAAAATAGAGGAGATATGATTAACATCAAATGTGTGGAGAAATCGATCTTGTGATTTGTGTTCTACAACCATAAGCTCTTAAGGTCAGTTTCTAACGTTACATATGAAGATCATACAGAAATTGAATGACTTCTCAAGATTAAGCACCATTAAGCATCACAGTTTTTTTTGAAAAGCCTCATGCTGATGAGACAATATAGATAAGTATCATACACGAAATGTGAAATAGAAGGGGGAATGGGTAAAAGTATCCCTTTTGATAATTACCTCGTAATTGAACTTTCGCTTGTGAATTGGCTTAAACTTCCGAACATCCAAAATTGTTAGTTCATCATCCTACATTTGAACAACGGGCCAAAATACAGCTTAAGAACAGCAATAAATAGCTCTTAGCTACTGATACCCACCACTCAGAATTCCACAGAATGAAGTTACTGAACCAGAAACTGCACAAAACCCGTGGAACGAGGTTTGGAACAACTCAACTTACCCTATTACCAACGGCGATGTGCGTCCCATCAGGTTTATAGGTGATGTTAATGTTCTCCCCACTAAGTTCTGCTAGCTGTGCACATTTTCCACCTGAAGCACCCACATAGAGATAACATCAAATTCACATCTTGGTACCTAAAAAATGAAAAAATAAAAACTTGAAAGAGCAATGACTCACTCCGAGCATCCCAAAGACGAACCGTCTTGTCCCCAGAGGCAGTGGCAATTAAATCAGCATGCTTGGGGTCCCAACACAGCTGATCCACACTATCTGTGTGCCCCTTCAATTCAATATCTTTAGCCTTAGCCTGTAACATATATAAATAGATATACATAAACATAAATATAACTCAGATAAAACCTATGAATTTATTGGAAATTTGAATAAATTAACCTGGAAAGAGCTGAGCTTTACATGTCCATGGGGCTCAACGTGCCAAACCCTAGCAGTTTGATCAACAGAACCCGACGCAAGCTTCGTCCCCGTGCAGTTCCAAGCCACAGAATGCACCTTATCAACAAAGAAACGAACAAATTTAGCAAATTGAAAACGGACGCAAGAGATTTAGGTTTTGTGGAGACTGCGATTGGATTACGAAATTTAAAGAGAGAGGGAAAGAGAGAGAGAACTTTCTTCTTGTGGCCCTGGTACTCTCTGCTACTGAGATTCTTAAAGGGTATTGCGGGTTCCTCCGTTTCTGCCATTGTTGGCGAGCTTCAAGGTCTAAATGGTTACTTTCGCTGTTACCAGTAGCGGGTAGATTAATCAGTCCCTCCAAATTACTTGGTTTCATTCGGTTCGATTTTTTTTCAAAATCGAAATTTTTGGTTCGATTTGGTTAGATTTTTTTAGTTTTCGTTTGATTTTCTTTTGCTCAGTTTCGACTTGTTTTCGGTTTTTTTTTTTTTTTTATTTAATTTTAATTTATAAAAATTAAACTACTTTTAATATGAAGTTTATAAGAGAGACTCGCACTGGTAGACTAATAATAAGAAAATAGAGAAAGTGGAAAAATAGTTGTATATATACAAAATCATATAAACCAATTATATTCTACCAGCAACCTCAATTGCAAAGAAAAATGATAACTATATCCATTACAAAAGCAAACAAATAAAAAAGATCTTATAAGTTTCAAAGCCTTCCAAAATTTCTTCTATAACCAATGAAATATCCTCTCTAATTAAACCAAATATGCTCTTTGAAAAAGCCTTAGGCTTAGTTTCAAACTTGGCTACAAAGTTTTACAAAAGAAACATAATGGGCATACATCCATAAAGTATAAAGGATTCAATTTCCGAACTTCCAAAACCGAAACCGAACCAATAAGGTTTGGTTTTGTTTGGTTTTCCTTTTTAGTTTGGTTTTTTCGATTTTCGGGTTTTTGGTTTGGTTCAGTTAACAGTACGGTTTTTTTTTTTTCGATTTTTGAACTCATCCCTACCTCCAATTACATGAAAGAGGCTCATCTTACTTTCTTTTTCATTTTTTATACAACGACATTTACACTAAGAATGTTGACGAAAAAAAAATGATATTGCACTCGTTATTTACGATATTTGAATTTAAAATCTTCTCATTTAATGCTAATTGTAAGACTTAGCTCATTATCTCATCCATTATTGTAAATAATATCATTTATTTAAAAAAATAAAAAAAACTTCTCATTTGATAATACATTATTGGCCAGAAACATTTTGTATAAGTTACTTACATTGTACTTGGAATTGTTACCGAGTATTGATATGTAAAACTACATATTTTTCTTAGCCTCCAATTTATACATGTAATTTGGCATACTCCACCACAACCACCATATCAAAAGATTCAGAAAATGTAAATGCAACATCATCTACCTAAGTACAACGTCCGTCATATTCTCCCCCCACTCCATCAAGTTCTATGATCCATCATTCTGCAAGACTTCTCAAAACCTAAAACCATCGGCATTGAGTTGTAAGTAGAGCAATTGAGCTCTAACGTAAAGAATTTTTCAGTTTGTTGAGAATACAACGGGTTACAACAAGTGTTATAATACAAGTGCTTAGAAAATTAAAAAAAATTGGCAAATTACACAAAACTACTTCAACTTTGAGTTGAACCACAATCTGATATCTCATTTTGTAAACATTGCAATGTCATACCTCAACTTATGATTTCGTTGCAATGTGAGACCTTCTTCAATTTTTCTATCAATTTAGTTGTTAAATGATGATGTGGCATGAGTGGTGCCCATTTATCAGACTGCAATGAATTCATAAGTTAAGGTATAACATTGTAATGTTTAAAACACGAGGTATAAGATTGTGATTCGACCCAAAGTTGAGGTAGTTTTGTGTAATTTGCTCTAATTTCAACCACTTATAAAAACACTTGATGTACCGAGTGTGTTATGATTGTGTACATTGGATGTTCATGTTGAGTAGTTGGGTGTACATTGGATATTTATGTTAAGTGGTTGGGGTAGTAATTTACGAAGAAAATTTTAAGTGTGTCAGAAACACGATCCAATATACCAAGTGTTATAATATAAGTGGTTAAAGTTTTTTTTTTAAGTATCCAAACACTTGTAATAT